ATGTGTGTATAAAATATACAAGTAGTTTCTTAAAAATATGTTTTCTTTATGGTAGTTCATTTGAGCTCCGTAGCGCTTAGTCTCTCGATGCTCTATCGAAACTTTCTTCAAACGCACACAGGGCGCCGTTTTATCTGTCGACCTCCTCCTAAACCTCCAAGTCACCTACGGATTGGCACCGTCTGTACCCATTAAACGCTGTTTGTATGAGTGTCTTATGGATGAGACGGTGCCAAAATCGAAGTAGCACAATAGTTCTCGTTGTGTCTCATAGTGCGTTCTAATGCCAATGTTCATCGAGAAGACTATCTTTGGATCAGGATGATTCTGACGCCCCATATTTCGTACGTCTTTCCTTGTTTCGCACATGGTGAGGCGGCGTACACCGTAGGCGTAAGGCCTCCCCTCTTTTTCCTGTTTTATTCTTCGGGAAGCCGTGACCTCTTTGACTGTGGACGCTCAGGCTTGCAGACTATTTTTATTTGTTCTTATTATTTTTAGTTTTCCAATTTAATTTTCATTATAAATTAATAGATACTGTTACTGTAAAATTAAATTTTGTTACCCACGAATTTTATTTTACAGATAACTAAACAAGTTTTTTAAAACATCACATCGATGTTTTAAAATCGATGGTGTTTTGATCGATGTGCTATTAACATCGATGTTTTAATTTCGAACATCGATGTCGCATCATTAACTGGTACCGCCAATAGAATTCCGTACCGGCTGCCACTGCATTGCATGAAACGGAATTTTATCTAACGCTGAGAAAAATACTGGTCCTTTGAGATTACGATTTGGGCAATTTTTTCTGTAAAATATCGAATGATCTCCATTTGAGCCCTTTTCGTAGGTCGGTACTGAAGTAGTGGCTGTCTCTTTAATGCCATCTAGTAGCGACGGAAGGTATTAGGTTGATAAACGATTATGAAATTAATTATTCGTTCAAAGGCGTTGTTTGCATGAGGTTAAAAAGACCGCAAATCTATGAAGGCTCTACCAATATTTGAATTTCGTTTTTGCCCGTGAATTACACTGCATTTGCACTGCATTTGGAAGCGTTCTCGTTTCTAAGAGTACACCCATGTCTAGTTCCGTTTGTAGAGGTTAGGTTGTTCTAATTGTAGAGGTTAGACAGTATGCCTGCTTGCATGAGGAGCAACGTACCCATCCGCCGAAAGTGAAAGTTGCGCGCTCTGGCGGCGTGGCGCCGACAGCGCTGCGGGCGGCGAGGGGGAGAAGGTCAAGACCAAGTGAAAACTCGCCTTGCGTTCACTCGAGACATTGAGTTGCAGCGGTCGTCGCACTCGCCCGTGGAAGCTGCAACCGTGCTGCTTAGGAGTAGGAGTGTGTAATGTGGAACATTTTTATCTCTGCCGTTTTTAGGTACTTTTAAAACTGTTGCGAAACCTTTTTAATAAAATAGTTGTGGTGGGATTACGTTGATATAATGTACAATAATAGTAATAATAGTAATAATAGTAATAATAGTAATAATAGTAATAATAGTAATAATAGTAATAATAGTAATAATAGTAATAATAGTAATAATAGTAATAATAGTAATAATAGTAATAATAGTAAAAGTAATTTGTACTAATTGATAAAAAATGAATTTCATGAGAATTAAGAATGAAAATTCATTCATAAGCAAATTTCCATTGTAGGGTTTAGAAATAATAAAATTTTCGAATAACTCTTGGGAGGTACGCACGAAATTCACAATCTCTTTCAAATTCCAGGGGGTGCGACGTAGATATAATCGACCAGAGAATGTCAATTTGAGTGAAAATTCTGCCTGCAGATTAGTCGCTCGTGTTAATCATAGTCGGACAGACGTTTTGCCGTAAACCAATTTTTCGGTATCAAGGAGCCACAAAACGTGTGTTCTTATTTCACAACGTCATAGAGGAAGAAATTTACTACGTATTGGAACATGATTTATCCACTTCTTAGATATGTGTCCCACAATATCAGTTTTCCTGCCGACAAATCTCGTTTTTTTGCCACAACATTACAGTAATTTCTATGTACTATGTAAATACTGTAAGTAAATGTGAAAGGGGGCTTGCAATGAGAATGACATTTAAGCTTTCTTCGCTTTTTTATTGTCACTTCAAAAAAGATGCATAAAAATTGTTGTATGTGGGCTACATTTTCTTTGCATACATTATAAAAATGTTTGTGTATATATTTGAAGCCAAAAATTCCAAAAGGGAAAGCGCAATTCTAAGGAAACAATACCACTTGCACCCTTGGCCTGAATGAAGTCGTCTTCTTGCGGGTTACAGAGTTCCTTAATTAGTACCTTCCGCTATCGTGAGGCAATATTTCGCATCCTGCTGTTTTTTCAGTGGAATGCTAACAATTCTAGATAGCCATGCTACTTCTAATTTGAATTCTAACCAGCGTTAGAAATGCTGATTGCATGTGTTGCACACTTACGAAAGCAACGTTATTTTTATGAAACGGTTTTAAGAATAAAAAAAGTAATATATTATTAAATTGATGAATCTTTCGTTCTAGAAATTTATTATTTAGACCAGTGGCTTATTCAGACGATCCGCAAGGTGTCGAAGCCTTTACCCCAAATCCCGCATTTAAAAAACTCACTTCAAAAAACATTTAAAAATTCAATTAAAGCTGTTACCTTATATTGCAATACCCCTGTCAATTCAGATATTTTGCCCTTCAAGCTCATGCGTTTTTAATTTGTTTTTATTATTTCAAAAATATTTTTGGTGGAGGGGTCTGAACTGTAAATCCTCTCCCTCCTCGAAAAACTAGCATTATACGTCCACAGGTGGAGACGCTTCAGTTGTCAAGCTAAAATAGCACCTGCCTCCAATTGTGAGCAGTATAGTGTCAGTGGTTGGTTATCGCGGCAATGCTTTGACAGATGTCGGTTTTATACCTGCGCTAAAGTGTAGCTAGTAAGAAGATGGGTGGAGATTAGTGATAGTAGAACCGTTTGGCATTTAGTCTTGGACTGCAAATGGTGATTTCGATGTAATGTACAAAAGTGAAAATTTTATGTTTGTCCAGAAGTGAAACATGATGGGGCGTGCGTGAAGCACTGGCTACTTTTCTCTCCAAATCCAGCAAAGGTTCTCCCTGCCATTTCGCTACTCTAGCTGCTATCATGCGCAGATATGGCGAAATTAATTTTGACCTAAAATGGAAGGTGCTGATAGTGTGACAGGGTGTCTCAAATCATCTACTAGTCATTTTAACGAATTAAAAATAAACATTTACATTTCATTGAAATTGGTGATGTTTGATGAAGGCGATGATGAAGAAATTGACGATACAATGAACGAAATAGTTTACTGTAGCCTTTCCCTCCGTTTCTTGCATCACGGCTTCAAATGAGAAAATAAGTAAAGTAATATTCAAACATTACTTACATAATGTTATGCGTTGGTTCCATGTGAGTTACCTCCCGCGCGTATGATTCTAACTTTTATTTCCAGTGGGGACTCCAATTTTTGTATTAGTTTTGCATTGAATGAATATTGTAGGTAACAATTCACACAAACCAAAAACGAACTAACAAACCCTTCATCAAATTAAAATAAATTCGCCAAACATAATAAAATATGCATTCGATACCGTCAAGAATTGACTGAAGTTGCGTACTACAAATAACACTCGAATTCATGAAATTATGGTATAGCTAGTTTCAAACGAAGACAAAATTAGTGTTCCCGTCGGGGACCTTTAAAGCCAGCGAGGTCCCCCACTCCGCTCGGCGATGAGACCTCCCCCCCCTCGTTCTGCTGTGTATACTTAGATTTTTTGAAGTGGCCTATGCCATTAGGTCATTGATACACCTCCTGCCTTATAAAATGAAACTTTTTAATTAATTCACGAACGTCCTTCTCAACGGTGCTCGTACCGTCAAAAATTTTCTTACCACTGTTAGAAATTATTTATTTTATAAGTCAGGAGGTGTAACGAAGTCATGTCATCGGCCGCTTTAAAAAAAAATGATGTATAAGCAGGTGGCTCCGTCTTACGAACGTTGCGATGCGAAAGCAACGGGATCTCAAAGTTGAAACAAAAGGACGCGCGGCCCAAGAGTAAAAGCTGTAAAAGAGCTTAAGCTGTCGAGCGCCCTCTTCGGTGTTTCGTGCGCTCCAGGGCAGTGCACTAATGTCACGCTGTCGCCACGGCGCCGGGCTTCCGTCAAGCAGCAGAGCCCATCCGACGCCGACGCCACCGCCGCAGCCACGGCCGCACCGCCGGCCGCCGTGGAAGGGGGTGGGTTCTGCAGGGGTATGTTTCGCCGACCCTCCGGCGACGACGAACAAAGGGACCACTGCAGGTAAAACGCAGCGACCGACGGCACAGTGAGAAGGATACCATTTAAAGCTGTATTCTACTAGCGGTGGCGCGTACCCCCTCCTCCGCTTCGCGTGGCGAGTTGGGCGACGCTTGGCGCAGCAGCGGACGCCTGCTGCACGTCGGAAGGTCTCCATTCAAACCAATGCTCTGCTACGAGCAGCGCTGCTCGGAAGCGCACCGCGGTCGCGACGTGGGAAGGGGCCGTAAGAGCGTGACATTGGTGCACTGCCTGGGAGCGCACGAAACACCGAAGAGGGCGCTCGATACGCGCTCTTTGATACCAAAAATACTTCTTACTGCAATATCTCGAATAATGACAATAAATGGAAATGTATATTCCTAACATATATTTTTTTTTAGATTGTCAGGGGTTTGTGCACGAGCCACCAGATGACTGCTAAGAGCACTCCTGTGTGTGGTTCTTTTTCTTTACCTGTGAATAGTAGTTCCTGTAGGATTGCCTGTATTATTGGTAAAAATGTGTTCTGAGTTTGATTTCAGTATAATTAAAGAAAAAGATAATTCCATGGATATGGAAGAATATGCTACATATATTCCTTTATGACAAAAATATGTTGCCATAATCAGCTATATTATTTTCAGTTATAACCAACTATTGTTCTGTAACTCATTTTTATTACTTCTTTCAGAGATTTGCATCCTGCAAGATTAGACAAGTCTCAAGAAGTTCGCCGCCTTAGATTTTGTCACCTGTATGCTTGGGGATTTTCTTTCCTCATTGCTGGATTAGGCTTGCTTTTTGACAAGTTGCCAAATTCACACACTGGATTTGTTCGTCCTCGTTTTGGTCAACAGCGATGTTGGTTTGCTGGTATGTAACACTTTTTTATATGTATAAATACATGCTATTTACATAGAAAATGTTCTTAATGTGTTTGTTTAATTCACAGATGATACTGAAATTTTTGTGTACTTCTTTGTGCCAATGGGCATTACTCTAACTATCAATTTAATTTTGTTTGCTCTAACTGCAAGAGCTTTGACTTGTGGATTATGGAAACAAGAAGTTGTGAAGGCCAGCACAGAAAGGTTAGTAAAGTATTTTTAATTTACTCCACAAGCAAATAAGAAAGTACTATGAAGTTTCTTTTAAGCAGATATATATTATCAAGTTTTATCTGCATTTGCAAAATGTGCAAATTGTTGTGGTATATTATTTCTCCATATTTTTTTAATCACATATAGTTCTAGTGCATATATTCTTCTGTATATACATCATTATAAATTTCTAGAGACTTTACTATACTGTTAGATGTCAGTGCAATAACTTACCAGTGTACTGGTATTTGAAATTAATTGTCCATTTTTTGCTTTCAGAGCTACTTTAAGCAGAGTTTGTTTAAAACTTGTGGTGGTAATGGGACTGACATGGGTCATGGACATTATCTCATGGGCTGCAGGTGGGCCAAATTATCTTTGGTACTTTACTGATCTGGTGAATGCCTTGCAAGGAGTGTTCATATTCGCTGTAGTAGGCTGCCAGCAACAGGTGTGGGCAGCTGTGAATAGGTTGTGGTGCTGGTACATTCCTCGAGCTGGCTCTTCAGCCACCGGACAACATGTCTCGACATACTCCCAAGGACTACCCTCATTGGGGGAATCAGTCACACACAGTCACTTGCATAAAAGTGTTCCTTTGGAAACGATGTGCTGACCATGTTGTACCAGAAGGTACTCCTTCATCTTGAAGTTCCTATGATCCAATGAGACTGAGACATTTGTTTTGTATTTTAACTATGAACATTAAATGTACAGATGTTTTAATGCATGGAATTGCTGTGACCAATGCAAGTACAACGATACATTTAGGTTAAGCTGACTATTAGTTTTAGAAAGCAAGGAGTTGTGAACATTTCCATGATAGTTGTGTATCTTTCGTCCTATTTATTTAGTGTATTGATTGTAGTTGAATATCCATTAATACACTTACGCATGCTAATGAATTATGTTCAGATAAAAAACTTGTACATCTAGAATAGGCTTTTTTTGTAAATATTAGTGTTAATTTGAACATTGCATTTAGAATATTAGAGAATATTTGGATTGAATAGTTCACATTCATACTATTATTATATGTAATGTCTGTGGTCTGACTTCAGTCTTCTGTATATAGAAGTATTTTGAACCATTTATTTTAGAACTAGAAGTCATTGTGCTTGCTTTATTTTATTTGCTCTATGAGTAGACAATAACTGATTATGAAAGTTACCTCATGAAACTTGTTGCCTTGGTGTTCCTTTCTTTCTAGCTAGATGAAACTTTTTGTGATGAACTTACTCTTCGATCATTTGATGATTCATTTCACATAGGGCTATTGTGAAAAGAATATCACTATAATTCTCTAAAAATTTTTTATATAATTGAAAATAATTTTTATATGTATTTAATGCTCAAGTAAGGGAAGAATGTCTTCCAAAACATAATGGAGTGGAAAAAGATCATTCCTGGAAAATTTATTTTTATGCACTTTTTCATTTATCTGATTACAATTGAAGATCTTGCTAAAATTAGTTTCTCATTTTAAAGTAGCTTGTAACTGAATACTGGGTTCTGCCCATTGTTTTTGTGTATTATTTGAAAGTGTGATATTTATCTCCACTTCTTTTTGCCATTACTTGTTACTTAAATATTTATTGAAAGAAAATGATGTAAGATCTTGGGAAATACAATTGTATACCATTTCATATTGAATTACATATAAAGGTAAAATGATACATCAATGAGACTTGCTTAAAAAAGATTGTAATGGAGGTACACAAATAACATTTTTTCCTCTGAGAAAAAGTGTAACAAATTAAAATATGATTTCTGTCTCCATGGAAATATTACTTGTACCTCAATTTGCACATTGACACTATATCAAACAATATAATTTGTATTATTTAATATTGGCCGAAGAAAGTTTGTTTCATTGCTGAGGAGACTGCCAAAGACAATTGTTACCATGCTACGTTCAGATGCAGTAATGTTCAACATGTAAAAGAGTTTAAAGTTAGCGTAATAGAAACTGTAGAGCACTACTGCATGTAAGAACACACATCAGAATTAAATCTGGTGATATTCTGTCTTGAGTACACATTCTGCATTTCCTTGTTTGAGCTTTTTTGTTATGGGATGATTGATAAGTGTCATGTGCAGTTTTCATTTCTAAGCTGGCTCATATGTTAAGCTTTAATATCCTAGACATATTTTACATTTATGCCAAATACTGTATATATACGAAAAGTGAGAATCTACTTTTTGATTACTTGTAATTATTCATGAAAACATACAACGATACACTAGCAAGTGATCTCAGATGTGTGTAGTCAATAGTATGATATATTTTTGTATGTAAACATGCATGCTGAAACAGTATTAGAAAACAATAAATTTAATTTTGCTACCAGACTGTTTGTTTTTAATGAGTAACTTCCAAAGACAAAAGTAATTTCTTGAAATTGCAATTCTGCTTTTCAGAGGTCTTACTGCATTTTCAAAGATTCACATGTTTCTTTCCAAACAAATTATTGCTTGCTTATTTTTTGATGTCTTATCATAGCATTATAAGAATCGTTTCTAGAACTGTATGTTCTGAAAAATAACTATCTTTCTCTTCACTGGAAGAAATGCATTGAGAAATTGTGAGAATCCTTATGAAGCCTTTTAGTCTACTTCCTCTGAAAACTTTCAGTATACTTTCTGCGTACAATGCAATGTATTATTTACATATGTATTTATTATAAATTAATGGTCTACTGATTCATTTTAAGTACAATGAACAAAATATAAACTTTTTTAAGTAATGAAAATAAAATCATTCAAATTTCACCAATCTGCTCGTCACTTTCTCAAACAATGGGTACAAATTCGTTAGAGATCAGCAAGTTAAATATAACATATTTTGTGAAATTTACCATGGAGTAAATAAGGTTGGTTGTAGTATGTACAAAGTCTTGAGATTTGAGGAAGTATACTTTTTGGGGGTTCTCAATACAAGGGAAAACAATTTTCATCAAGAAGCACTTGTCATGATATCTTCTGAGAGCAAGGCTAGTCATTTTTTAACCATTCATTACATTTTTTCAAAATTTATTTTTGGGTTTGGGATAGGTGTTGATGTTTGAAACAAGAATCAATATCTATATTTGAGAGGAATCTTACTTTTGTGGGGAATTAAGAGACTTGTAACTTATTTACAAGTTTTTCTAAAGTACAGTTTTGTTACTTTCTATTAAATGTTTGTGTGCACAGCCCACAAAAAGCACTCTTAAAATTACAAAAATTAGGAAAAATAATACAAATTTCTCCAATTCAAAGAACTTCAAGAATTTTCATTCGCTTCCTTATATAATAAATTTAATTCACAGAGATTTTGCCATTATTGAGAAACAAAGTAGTTCCACTTCCTAGTTGTATCTGATATGATGACTGAACTGATGAAAATGTGTTTAAAGATGTTAACAGAGAAAGGTTACTTTTTTAAAGAAGATGCCATTCTTTGTACATAACATCTACAGAAGAACAAGAAAAATGAACAATGGATCATAACGAAGTCAGGTACTCTAAAATAATACTTTCAGATTTGAAACTGAGCACCCAGAAAGGACCTCCATTAATCATTATCTGAATTAAGAGGTAATAAAGTTAAAGGTAAAAAGAGAAGAGCAATCTAGTGTAAAGACAGCATCTCCAGAGAAAGAACATTTGATTGATCCAGGCTTGTCAACTGCTATACTACTTAGTCGTGTATATGTAGCTCAGAATGTTATATTGCAGGAGATGGTGGCTTTCTCCTCCCCCAACCATGAGTGTCTACCTATGCATTGGATTTCCCCCTCCTGGTTTCTCCAATACTGGGGCACTGCCAGGACCGGGACCAGCTCTATTGTCCCAACATGTGCAGTAGTGTAGTGCATGTAAATACACGGTATGTATGTGTAAGGGGGAAGTAGGACAAAGATGAGGAAGGAATGATCACATTTGGTCTGTGACCTTTGTTCCTGTGTTACATTATTGCTCTGGAATTTACCTGGTATTGATCAGGGACATCACATAAAACTACCAATCAGAGCACTTGGGTGCTAGAATTCTCCCTCTGATAGCATCTGAATGCAACATAGCTATTAAGTTTGTGTTGTAAATTCACCACTGCTGGAATTAGAAACCAAGGACATCCTGTTCATAGTCGCTTGATCGATGTTGCTCGCAACAATTATTGCCCTGAGCCAACTCAGCTTGTAGGTAAAAGTAGGAAGCAAGTAATTGATGCAACCAGAAAGAAGTACAGAGGCAAGTGAAGGTCTATCAGTGTACGCTTGCAAGTCTGCCTTTTTTTTCTATCAATCTGTCCTTCAAAATGAGAACGAACGAAGAAATGAGCCATTTGAAGTTTAAGATTAGGAAGTTATTGAAGATATCAGTAAATGTGACTAAAATAAAAGAATAAAATTTTGTTTCAGATGTAACAGTTTCCTTAGTTTCATCGATTTTTGAGATCTGTAAAGACAGCCACTAGATGAATGCTTAGGACATCATGTATTATATTTAAATACTGTAACTTCCTTTTGATGTTTCGACTTTATCTCCCTGTTATGTAACTACAAAACAACTTTTTGAAGGATAAAAATTTAAGATATTTTAAAAGTTTAACAAATTGTATCTTGTTTTGTGCCATTATCTTGCCCCAAGACTTCCAATTAATGTTTAAATTAAAACACTTGAAAATCACTATGATTATGTAAAAAGTTAAAATAATTTCATTTCAACATATTATACACATTGTCTATGTTTGTGTTGTTACAGGAATGTTTCATTATTTTGTCTACATAATGTACGTGTATTTAAAAAATGAATTAAATTATTTTCATTTTGTGAAAAGGAGATCCAACATTTTGATACCTCAAACATTTATTACTTTGAGGAAACCTCCCATTGAATAAAGCTAATCTTTGCATTATTGGAAATGGACAGTAATACTCACACTGGGCTCAAATGTAAGCAGATTTCTTGGTATCAGAAATTCAAATCAAAGGACATAGGTATTCTTCAGTGCTTTGAGTTGTAAAAACATAACCATTTAGCACATAAATATTTATAAACAAATCTTCAATATACAATTGAAGCAATTGAATTAGCATTGATAGAGTTGGTAAATATAAGTATAATAAGTATCAGTATAATAAATACAAATTTTTTGGATTGAAGACATCAAGAGCATTCAATTGCATCTGGATCCAAATGAATCTCCTGGCCCAGAAACTAGTCCCAATGTATTGTGTAAGAATTGTGCAACAAAAATAGCTTATCCTCTACACACGTTTTTCAAATTTGGATGGATTCCGGAAATCTACCTGAAGATTGGAAATACACTAAGATAACCCCCGTATTCAAGAATGCCAACAGACTGGATCCTACCAACTGCAGACCAAAAAGCGTGACTGGTTCTATTTGTAAGGTCACAGACTGTCTTGTAGCAAATAAACTGTTAGATTTTTGCCCGTTGTCAAGAGATTATTTCTCAACAACAGCATAGTTTTGTCCTCAACCATGAATCTTCTTGTCACCAGGCAAGCATGGAACAAAGACCTGGATGGCAAAAAACCCACAGATGTGACCTATCTTGACTTTGCAAAAGGAATTGACAAAGTACCTGATCAACGCTTATTGCGCAAACTTCACCTTCTAGACATCTTGGCAAACTCCTGAAGTGGCTGAAATCTTTCTTGACTGGACAGACCAGGTGAAAATTGGGAACATAAGTCAACTTCCCACCTAGACCTCAGTGGAATTCCTCAGGGGTCAGTCCTTGGACCTATACTAATTATCTTCTACACAAGTGATTCACCTCAAGGACCAACTTCTCCATATAATGCATTTGGAGAAGTTGAAAATGTATATCCAATCCCCTTGAAAACCCTGACCAACTACAGATTGATTTAGACAGTGTCGTTGATTGGACTACGAGATGACTGGTACCACTCAACAAATCACCAACAATCACCAACATCAATACATAATCAATTGTCAACAAATTAAACCTTCTACTTGTAAAAAAGGTTTTGGTAACAGATGATTTGAAATGGGAAGCCCATCTCAACCATGTTAAGAAGGGAAATTGCATTATTTCTGATTCGAAAAACTTTTCAATTTCTTGACAAGTCATCTTTCACAATACTTTATAAAACATACGTTCTGCCAATGCTAGTATATGCTTCTACTGTCTGGAGTTCATATTTCATCAAGGATATAATTCTACTTGAAGGAAACCACTCTCCAATGTAGAGCCACAAAGACAATTCTGGTTATTAGGAACATGTCTTACAAAGAATGACTGAGTGAACTTAACTTTTATCTGCCAGAAGACAACATGTAGATGCTACCGAAATCTACAAAATTCTCCATGGTCATAATGACTGCCCTGAACTTATTTCTACACTAGACCCACCAATTGAAACTTGAGAGTAAAATTGAAGAAAGCCAAGCTCAGATATATTCACCACAAGAACATTCTTGCTAATCAGGCAGTGAATCTTTGGATCTGCCTTCCAGACAAATTCATATCAGCCACCTGTGTACAATAGTTTTAATCACTTTATAACAGACTTGACAATCAATGATATTATTGTTATACCATCACTGTGTAATCTGCTTTCAAGTGTATGTCGATAAGAACATAATCAGTTTTGCTGCTGCTCTGTGTATACAAATAAATAAGCAATGTTTTTTAAGTATAAAAAATTAATAATAATTAATAATGTCAAATTAAGAATATGTTATCAGCAGAAAAAGTTACAAGAACTAGCTATCTTTTAAAACTTTACTCTATGCACTAATTCCATGTAAATATGAGTATTAAAAAGGTAGGGACAAGAAAAAGAAGAAAAAATTAGAAAACATGGCAATATATCTTATATAGCCAACATTTTGTTTTGAAGGCCAAGAACTTGTAAGTACATATTAGAGATGGATTAGTCAGATTTTTGCCAACTAGTGGTGTTCCCAGGTTTAAACTTTTTCTTTCATCACATAGTTATAGAAATCGAAATAATTATTATTAGAAAGCTACTTTTTTTTTGTCCTGGGTGGAAGCCAAGCACTTCGCTAACCAAATGAAAACTATATTTACCAATCATGAATGATGTAATTCATGGCTAAATAGTTGCAAGCTGTATTTAATATTGTAGTTAATTGTTATAGCGCTCTTATAAACTCTCCATATATTTTTGCCCTGCGTTGGGCATGCCATTGTAGTGAATCAGTCTCTATAATTTAATCACAATATATTTTTGATCATAGTCTCTCTTATAATTAAATCCACTATATTTTGCCCCTATAATTTCTTTCAATTTAATGTAATTGAGTGGCTAGCTCTAATTTTTATTAAGATTTTGGGCATCTCCATACTTACATTATCAGGGTATTTTTTTTCTCATGGGCTAGAAAATACTGCTTATAAGCATTTGGATGATGATTTAATTTTGTTAGGAAGTATCCTTTAACTAATCTTGATAAAAAAAAAAATCAAATGCCTTGTAATTTGTTTATGGAATTGCTAAAATCTTTTCTATTAGTCCTTTTGCCACTTATTGTCTAAAATTTCTTTTGCAAAGATTATTCTAGCAATCTTGGTGTTGTGGTGAGATTAACGACTATTCCATAATTCCGTACTGGAGATCTTATTACCACACTGAATTTAGCTTTTAAGTTTTGCTACCATTCCTGAGCTGAATATTCCACAGATATTACAATATTCTCGCTAATTGTTATAATTCATTTACTTCCCTATTCTCTGATAATTGGGAATCACAAGTCCATTTTCTATCTCACTAACAACAAAATATTTTTACTCAACGCACTGACGTCCATCGATCCTCACACTTCCAAATTCAACATAGTTCTGTCTTAAAGTGTTTGTTTTCACCTACAATCTGTCTCAACCAGTTCACTAGTTTGATTGTTATTACTTTGAATCAATGCACTTTTGTCACCCTCAACTTCATCTAGCATCTCTGGTTTTGTATTAACAATTTTCCATGTTATGCACTGTTTTCGAAAAATATTTTAAATTGTGCAAAATGTATTTAATCCATATAATATTTGCATTTTGTGAAGCTTTGCATTCTCTATTACTTGTTTTAATTTGTGTTTTTGCACAATTCCTTATGTTTTACTTCTTATACAGCGTTAATGTTTTGCTTTTGGAATACAATTCTTTCTTCAATATTGGCCAAACTTTGTAATTTGTTTATTGATATTTCTGTTTCTCCTTTGTATGTTCACATTTCTACTTAGGTGTGCTAAAACTAGGCTTATATTCTATCTTAACTGAAAAACTAAATCAATAAAATTCATTCAAGGAGGATTTGATAATTTTCTAGTAGCCAGAATCCTTCCATGCCCCCAAATTCTAAAAATCAGAGAATTTAATAAATAATTTGCTGTTGATGTTGTGTTTACTCAGAAATAATAAATAAAAAACTGGATAAATCTAGCAAATTAAATTTTTGTGTGAATATATAATATGATCAAATATTCCCTCCTGTAGTAATTCTTAAAGTGCCCAATGCACAAACAACTGATGGTACTTATATAATATAACAGCACATATTCTCTCACATTGCTTGTAAAGGCTACACAATTTTATAATTCAACATGAACCTGCAAAAGTGTTTTCAACCAGCAACATTTTTTATCTTGCACTGGAATTTGAATTCAGGGTTTTCAGAGTTACCAAGTTGTTGTAACCCCTAAATCACCAGCTTCACAGAAACTCAACTTTCCCTATGTTAAAAAAAAAAAAAATTAAACATTTGCTTTTCAAAAATTCAGAAATTTTCATACACATTATATTAATACCTGGTTTTAAAGAATAGATTTCATGAAGGAAACAAATGTTTTATAATGAATATTTTTGCAATGTTACTTTTTGTTTGCAAGTTTCAAAAAATACAGTCTTTGCTGAAAATGGAACCTGTGCCATTTTTCATTGCCTTTAGCCCCTCTGAGGAAAGAAATTGAGCTGGTTTTCTGAAAATAATTGTTCAAAAAATTGCCTATATTTCAAGCAAAATTAGAGAAAAATGTCTCTTATTTTTTAAAAAATTGTACATAAAAGAGGTTGTAGAACAATTTCAATAAGGAAAAAATCTCTTCCTTCAACATAGTTTTAGAAAAAAGCTGAAAAAAAGTTTTAATTTTTGAAAATACAGAGATTTTAACGAAAATAAGACCCGAGTCATTTTTTAAGTATTTGCTGCGATATTTGACAAATTATTTAATACAAAAATGTTGCGCAATTTTAAAGAAAATTTCAAAAAAAATTGAGGTTTCATGTAAAGAACAAAAAAAAAATCCTTTTAAAACTTACAAGGCCTTGCGTTTCTTCAAACAGACGAGAGAATATCAATTTTGGAGAAAATCATGTGAATGGTTTAGATGCTAGCATTGACCACAGGCAAGATGTTCAGGCAGAGAACAGATATTTGTTGCTGTCAACCAATTTTTCGGTTTCAAGGACCCCCAAAAAATGTGTATTCTGATGACAGGAAGTGGTGGAGGAAGTAATTTACAGCAAATTGATACAAGATTTTTCCACTCTTTTAATACCGGGGCCCCACAATAGGAGTCTTCTGGCAGAAAAATGCCAATGCACTTCAATTCAAAACTTATGCATTAAAGACAAAGTACATAGCAAAGCAAGAATATAATATTGAATTGAATTAATGCCTTATTTTACATGGCGAGACTCATGCCATGAGGCCTGCTCTTCTATCTGACCTCGCAAATTTCGCTACGCTCCTTTCACCAACTAGCAGAGAAATGAGGTATTTCTTGGGCGAGAAACAGGCGATTTGAATTTAGCTCAGAGGCGTCATTTAGGCTTGAGGATCTTTTACATGCAAGTAAATTTACTAACCTGGGCCAGGCGGCATTACTTCCTCTCTGAAGGAAGGCGTACAGAGGAATTTTTAGCCCTTAAAACTCCACGGCTTTGATCGGGTTTCAACCCGCCAACTTAGTGTAATGGTTAGCGTATCGGACTGTTACACCATATATGCATATACATGCATTGCCATGTGTGCATAATAAGTAGTATTGTTTCTCAAACTCCAAATATGTTCACTCGCAAATTCAATTATTTTTTATAAGAATTTATTAATACACAATATTAAAGGATTATCAATGGATAAATAAAGAAGAATGTAGAAAAATTTGTATGAGAAAAAAACAAAATTTATTTACAATTACAATCTAACATGCTATACTTCTTTTTTTTACATAATGAAGAAGTCTTACTACCGTTGATGGTGTCACACCCGAGATTCTACTTGCAGCAGCAATCTATACATGGAATCAAATACAAAATAGTTAATCCATAATTATATTTTAAACCAATGGTATTTTCAGAATTCTCAAAAAACATACGGTTTGTGGCCGAGCTGCAATCAACTTCTCTTGCTCTTCAAATGATATATTTAATGTCCTCCTATACAAAGAATTGAGAAGATTATTTTTTGTTAATCAAATTGTAGCAAAACTGAAGTGTGGACAAGACCATACAGATGGAAGTACATAGGAGAAAAGGATTGGAATAAAGAATTAAGATTGATGGTCACAAATCTGGTGATTGAGGAACGCAAAAACAGCGGTTTATATCTTACCACTACGACATCATTGTCTTCATTTTCTACTGTAAGGAAGAGAAGAGAAGAAGGGAGAAAAACTGTTGAGTATGCAAATTAAGGTAACGCACCATGTGATAATTCAAAATGGTAAATTGAGAATAATTTGACATTTCCTTTCATAATCTTGTACAACGATCATAAGGATTACATTGACTCATGATTTTTAAGAAAAGTTTAATTATTCACTAAGTCCATACTAGTATTCTACAGATTTTTTTTTTATTCTTACTCACGCAGTGTAATCAATGTTATCAGGAATAAGTAAAGATTCATCACGTTGGACTTGGGCTACTTCTTCTTCCTGTTCTGCAGCAGCGGCCTCATATACAGCTTCTACTTTTACACGCCATCTCAGTTCATGACTCTCCGGTAAATGAACATAGTTTTTTGGTAGAGCTTTCACAAGCTCTTCCAAACCAATTGGAAATTGCGGCATTGACAACATATCAAAAGCACTACAATAAACAAACAGTAAACACACATTTTTTCTGTAAGCATATTATGTAATAAATGTTAAACAACTTCTTAGGTCCATGTATGTCAGTTGTGCAAGAACTATTCACCTCAAGAACAAAGAATCTTCAATGACCACATACCACCCAACCTATACAGTTGTATATGCTATTAATTATCAAGCAAATGAGAACTTATTACATGTAGTTTCCTGTACATCGAACACGAGATTACCTTATTTTAAGATGTAACATCCGTGATCATTATTGACCAATAAAGTGATAAAAAGTTATGTAAGATTTAATGTTTTGTGGGTAAGCCCCATCTAACGAATCTTATCTTCAGTTTTATTTAACATTAATCTAATTTAATAGATGATATATTTATAAAATTGAAAAATGACATGAAATTAAACCCAAATTTACTATTTTTAATTTTTTTTGTCACATTCTTCTGAAAAAATGAGCTATTTGCAGAAATAAAAAAATCTGCACAGAGCTCACAGGTAGTGAAACATCTCAGAAGTGTTTTCATTTTTATATATAAAAGAAAGAACAATTTCCAAAGCATTCGCAAATGTAACCATGTGATATCAAAAACTCATTCAAATAAAAAAATACTGAACCTTTTCTGCATTGTTGATTTGCAGGGTGGGATATCTAAGTTCTCTCTCCATCGTGAGACAGGCATCTTGATGTCTTTCAGAAGCTGTATAATTTCTTGTATCATCATCTTCATTTGGAACATTCTGTCATATCTCTCTTGCGATACACAACCAATATTATATCCTGTAACAATAAGAAAACCATTAAAATGCAGAGCCATTCACTAAACAAAATTTTACTTTGAGTGCCTCCCTCCATTACCTTTTTCGGTAAGTCTTATATCCGCATTATCTGGTCGAAGGGACAATCTAAATTCAGCTCTGCTTGTGAACATTCGATATGGTTCGTTTGTACCTTGAGTTGTCAGATCATCAATTAGAACACCTATGTAACCTTCGGTACGGCTGATCACGAATTCAGGCCTTCCAGATACCTGTACATTATTAAAAATTAAATTATGAGCACGGTTATTTAAAACAACACATTAACTGAGTTATACAGTACCTTTGCAGCAGCATTAATGCCAGCAACAATTCCTTGTGCAGCAGCTTCCTCATATCCAGTAGTGCCATTTATCTGGCCCGCAAAAAATAAATTTTGAACACGTTTAGTTTCTAATGTGTATTTCAGTTCTCTTGGATCAACATAATCATACTCGACACCATAACCTGAAATGAAATAATTTTTGTAAGTTCGTATTTTGAACCAAGTACCAACAGAAAACATTCTATTCACATTCACTGCAGCATCTGTTCAATGTGTGAACAAAAACTGAGGAAGCTTCAACAAGTTAGGGGTTATTGACTTGGAAGTATATTAGAATAATTGATACAGGCTTTTCAAATACAATCAACAATCTTTTAGAATATACGATATTTTAGAATTATACAAAAAGAAAGGAATGAATGTTTTATCATCATTGTTATGAACGCACTGATGTAATGCCAGATCTTCAAAAGTTGAATTCTAGTACGAAGCTATTTTTAACTACAGATTTACAAAGTGCAACATGTTCATAAAGGTCTAATTTGTGAGAACTAATCATTAAGAATGCATTATAATCTAAAATGGTTTACATTTAGAATCTTAAAGCAAGCTCGCACAAATGTCACAACCGGAAGAAAAGAGAAAAAACACCCACAAGGGAAAATATTAATAAAAATGTCAAGTTTAACAGACTTTCCATTATGGCAGCATTTTGGTTAGTGGGGGCAAGTCTGAAAAAAACAAAGGGAACTGCAATTAGGACTATTATGTCTAACTCCTGTCAGCAGAGAACAATTTGCAAGATCAACACAAGTGATCTAAACAAGAATAACTCTCAACCATCACGTTGATTGTGATTTTTAAGAATTTTACAAAAGATATACATCAAGAATTATTACTTCCATTATACCTCTGAATAAATAGTATCCTCTCTCATTCAGTCCATCATAGGTATTTTATTTGATGTTACACTACAAATTAATGAACTCTTCCTAGGCGTTTGATATGTGTTTACATTTATTTATTTATTTTGACAAGTGAAAATGATCCAAACCTGGTCTTATTACTTTGGCATTTTCAAGTCCTGCAATCTGATGTACCAGTTTGATTTGCAGCTCTTCTGGCAATGTACAAGAAAGGCCATTAGGATATACAACATCACCGTCCAGAGTTTCAGGTTCCAGCCATATCTGATGTGCTCTTCCTCCAAATCTGTAGTTTATACGTGAAATATAGAATTTTTGTAATATGCATAAAAACTTATGAATGAATCACAATAATATCTTATTCAATATTTCTCCTAATTCTTCAAATTTGACATTTATGAAGGCAATTTAAAAATCCTGAATGAATGATTCAAGATTACAATGCAGTATCTTGTAAATTTAGATACCAAAAATGCTGTGTCCAATTCCTTTTTTTTTAATAATACTCAGTGGCGGCTTGTGCTTAGATTACACAAAACCCAGATAATAAAAAAATTCTTATAATATGTTAGGAATATACATTTTCTCTTAAATGTCATTCAATATTTCAGATTTTGCAGCAATATTAATGAATATGAAATTGTCTTGCTGGATTTAAAGGACTCCAGAGGGGATCACCAATTTTGTCTTCATTTGAAACTAGCAGCATCTTAACTTTATGAATTCGCATGTTATTGAAAGTATACAACTTCAGTCAATTCTTGACAGTATTGGATGCATACTTTATTATGTTTACGAATTTATTTGCCTTTAATGGAAGGTTTGTTAGTTTGTTTTTCTTTGGTGTGAATTCTATTACCAGCAATTGATTCAATGCAGAACTAATTCAAAAGTCCTCACTGGAAATAAAAGGCAGAATATTGGTGCACAGGAGGTTAACAAACCTGACAAGGATACTACGTATAAAATTATGTAAGTAATGTTTGAATATAAACTTTCATTACACTTACATTTTATTAATTTACATGAATTTCTTATGTTTTATTATATACAAGTGTTCTAAAATTTGGAAATTACATCATTCAATGGAGCTGCAACCCCCAGTGTGTTGCGACACCAGCTACCACTGCAAATACTAAATAAAATACACAGTGCAAAAACATGAGTATACCTTAATGCCTTTGATTCAATAGAAGGACAATATCGTGGTCCTTGAACTTCTTCAGTAACATGCCTGTTAATATGTAAATTATCAAGAATAATTTTATCAACAGCAGGGTTTGTTAATGTAAGATGGCATATTGCTTGATCCTCTGGCTGCAAATTTAATAAAATGAGTTCAATAAAACAGAATCACAATAAATTTTAACAATATTAGTACATTGTTATTCTTTACCTTAATCCACACTTCATTGTTCATGAAAGAAAACGGTTGAGGAGGATTATCTCCATATTGTTTCATCAAGTTTTGAAAATTAATTGTCCTACCATCTAAACGTGGTGGTGTTCCTAAAAGAAAAATATTTTTTAAATAATATACAATTCAAATCTCACAAATTATACCTAACTCTGAAACATATAAAATCTTTAACAAAAAACCTGTTTTAAGACGTCCTATTCGATATCCAAGATGTTCCAAAGTTGTGGCAAGACCAATAGCAGGTGCATCTCCTATGCGCCCAGCAGGAATTATTTCTAAACCAATGTTAATTTGACCTTTCAGGAATGTTCCTGTAGTCAGCACAACTGTTTTACCCAAAACTAATTTTCCATCACCTGCAGAATACAATCAATTTGCTAGATAAAAATCAGATTTAAAATTACTGTTGGTTATTGTAGATTTCTTTTACTTAGAGGAAAAAGAAAGAAGGAACACCAACAACATTCTTTCAATAAAATATCAAGACAAATTCAAATTTTTTCTATAAAATGACAGATTGAAAAGAAAGCAGAATCGAGAAATAAAGGATAAACACACAGTAAATTGCAATACTCTTTAGAAAATGTACAGCCTGACCTCCCTCTCTTAAAATGTTACTACTATACATGTAAATTCAGTGGTTAGGCGGAAGAGCAGGCCCTAAGGTCTGAGCCTCGCCTTTAATAAAGACATTATTATATTATTATATTTATAATAATTTAGTGACAGTTAAAAGAAAAATATAATTTAATGGGTAAATTTAAAAAGGCTATAAAATTTCACTATAGTTTTCGATTTACCATATTCCTTCCTTCATTTTTACCTAATTTTGCTCAATAACTCCCCACACAAGAGAAAGCTATTTTAATTTCTTGGTAATCAACTTTTGTAATTGTGCAGTGATGCAGTGTTTTATGATTTAAAAATTGACTGAAAATTGAAGTTTTACCATGAGGTAGAAAAATCAATCAGAACATTATATCACATATTTACTTGTAGACCAACTTATACTTAATATCCCACAATCTTACTCAAAATTATTCCGCAACACGACTGAGTACTACTAATGTCACCATCAATCCCTATGTCTTCTATAATGAGATCTTCAACTGAAGCTTCTTCAATTTGTAGATTTGGTGTTGAAAACAATTCTTGCTGAAGGTGTAATTTATAAAGTTTCCTGTCTATTTGTGCACGAGGACCCCAGACTGCAGGTCCTTTACGTTTATTTAGAATCTGTAAATTTATGCAAATCAAAATAATATTCTACATGACACAACAACCTTGCAAATATTAATATCACATACTTTGTACTGAATGCCAGATTTATCACATATTCTTCCACACACACCATCCAGGGCATCAATTTCTTTCATTAAATGCCCTTTCCCAATTCCTCCAAAAGATGGATTACATGACATTTCTCCTAAAACATCAAGTTAATTCATTATTAATAAAATGCAACTATTATCTGTTTTTGAATACCAAGCTTGAATGTGAAGGAGTACTCACCAACTGTTTCTTTTTTGTGAGTGACAAGTAATGTATTACATCCCATACGTGCAGCAGCTGCAGATGCTTCTGTTCCAGCATGACCACCTCCAACTACAATTACATCATAAATATCTTTGCCCATAGCCTCCGGGCAATATGCATCTGACATGTTGTATCTTTTTGACTGAAGTAATGACAACTTATTAGTTCTATTAACACTACATTCACGCTTAATGGAAGCTGTTGCTACGTTAAATAATAGGCGATTGAGTTTCATGGTTGTGTATTATAACCGGTAAACAGAGAGAGTAATTAAATGGAAGAACTATAAAAGTGAGTGAGGTTATGTCACTCTCAATTGAAGCACATTTTCAAATATTGATAATAAACTTAACACAAAAGACCTGTACATATATGAATATCGTTAATGAAAATACGTGATATTTATAGTTCTCGTTCAGAAGCACTTCATTTCCTTGGAGTTAACTAACATCACTAAACCGTGCACAGCGCCATATTGAATTTTCACGGTTAACTGATAGAAACAGTCAAGTAAAATCTTTTTGATGTAATTTTTGTCCGTAATCCGTGATTTAGGTTAAAGACGTGTCATTATTAATTTGAGAAATAATTTATTTGATACCATAATTGTAAAGTCATAAAAATTGAGAACGGTAAACGAAGCTGTATTGATTTATATTTCACGGCCATCGCCTAGCTAGGCATTTCCATGCTACGGCGCGTGAGGTGCACTTGCTGTGTTCGGGAGGTTGTTGTTTTGTTGTGATTCGTACAGAGACGCACGTTACTCCATTGCGGGAGAGTCAGCAAAGGAAATTTCATTTTCAGTGAAGAAGTTGGAGTTTGGTGGAAAGCTGTCTGCTTCTGAACAGGCTGGACTTGTCATTGTGGTGAGTAAAATTCATTTGAGAAGGTTGTGTTACTGTGCTTAGCATGGGTAAAACTGTAAAGAATCTTCCCTGAATGCGGACTTAGTTTCCCATTTCTGAGAGGAGCACCCTAGAAAATATACTTCAGTGGACTAAAATAGTCTTGGTGCATTGCGACAAGTCAATGTGTAATCGAACCAAATATTATTTATGTGTATGAAAACCGTTTTAATGAAACGAGTTGTGAATGAATTTGTTGTTGTTTCTCCTCTGGAATGTGTATGACACAATAATATGAAATCTTCTAAATTAATAATGATTCCTAATTATTTTAGTTAATTTCTTATGTTTACTTATTGAATTATAATTATTGCCGGACTATAGTTCATATAGTTGGTTCATTTATGAAATGCTTTGAAAATATGTAATTGTCATTCGTATATTCGTTTGCCCAGGAACAGAAAAACTGTCATCTTGGGGTAAATGTTTCAATTCATATGAGATCGCAACGATCATGATTATTCCAAAACAAAAATTCATAATTCATAATTAAATGTTCTATTTGTGCAATATTGGGGTTTGAATGAAGCCTTTTCGTACATTAGGTATTGTATTTTCCAATTGAACTGTTTTCTGTTGTGGCAAGACAGGTGTTACGTTGATGCCAGTCACATGAAACGGTAATTCTTATATTTTTGACATCTTGTTGTTGTTTGTTGACACTTCGTAATGCCATTATTACTTATGAATGATTGGGACGAGTGACGATTTGGTCGAGTGTAAGAAGTTGCGTGTTAATTGTAAGTGTCTGGCGGATAATTATTTCGAATGCCCAGCTACACACACGCATTGTTTACATCGGCACTTATTCCCGCGCATTTAGGACAGGTGCGTCATCGTGTCGTCGCGCCGGATAAGCATCGTCCATGTTTGGGCGTCGTGACCGGACAGGATGTGAGGAGTGCGGACGTTCGCCCGCCGACTCCGCCGCGCCGCGCCTCCGAGAGTTCCTCCTCCTCCTCCTCCTCTTCAGCGCTTGGGAGGCGGCGGCGGCGGCGAGTCAGCGCTCCCGCGTGTTGCCCCGCCCCCCTCCACCCCCTCCCTCCGCACTCCGCTCGCTCGAAGGCTAGCGAGCCGCCGCCGCCGCAGTGCGGTCTCGCGCTCGCGCGCCGAGTTGCCGGCTGGCCATCTGGGGCGACCTTGGAAGTACTTGAGGCCGGACGTTACGATGAAGTATGTGGAGAGACAGCCAGTTCAGAGGAATACCGGATCGGTGGATGTTGAGTGCGAGAGAGGTTGACGTGACTGGTTCGGTGCAATGGCTGTCAGGAGCTAGTGTCATTTTTCTGATGACGTCATTCTCACACCTTTTTTTTCTTCTGTTTATTCGCTCTTCTAGACCATCTCTAGCGCCGGACTACCTCAGGCAGCTTCTTAGGGTGTGAATTGACAGTTTTCTCCAAGGGGGTTGCTCAAACTTTATGGAGATAGGGCTAATCATGAGTAAAACAAAACAAGGCCATCTTTGCTTAAGCAGCACACACTAAATGAATCCTAGGAATTCTCTTGGATTATGTATTTATGTACTATTTAAGTACTTAGGGATGGGTAGATCGGAGGACGGATGGATGCTCTGCGAGAGGCTGATACATGAGCTCTGAACAGTGAGTGAGTGTGTGTGTGGGAGGGGGGGGCGTTGTCATTTATTGTTTTGACATGAACCTTTTTCTCAAACATTTCTTTCGAAATTTGTGGCTATTTAGGTTGCTTTTGTCTTGTGTGTTTTATTCCCTTACAGGGCAGAATTGTTGGATATAAGCCATGTTATTGCGTTTAAATAAAAATAGTAAGATAGGAGGTATATCGGAGTCGTGCATGGTCTCCGAAGGGCTACGAAGTCGTGGTAGAATACCTGAGAGAGAGCACTGTCATTCGTCGCCTGCTGTCGCGGTCTTGATGTAAGTCTAACTCTTATCTAACATATATTTCTTTCATAGTGAAGGATAGCCCTAAAATAAGGAATAGTTGTTTTCTTTATCGGCCTACATCTCAAGACAGCATGGGGCAGCGAGGCACTAAGTCGTTTTGCCGCTGCATTGAAGCAGGTAGAGACGAGTTTTAGGACTAGTGAATTTTCATCGGGGCTTCGAGTGTAGCCAATGGCGTAACTGAGTGCAAGAGAAGGTGGTACCGCACGTCACTTTTAACCCATTATCTCCATGTAACGCTACATTAACGTAAGCCAAGCTCGTCTATACTGCTGTTGTGCTTTCGAGGCACAGCGCTTTGATTAAAAAAATCTTAAATTTTAAAATGTATACATCACTCAGCACTTTTATCTCCTTAATTACCTTCGTGTAATGCTACATTATCTTCAGCAAATCCTGTTGCCTTGGTCATTTGTGGACGGCCATTTGATTAAAAAAGAAAAAAAAACATTTTAATGAGTTCTTACTAGTTCAAAGCCCTCCCGGGATCTACTTCTATCGGCATCATCGCCTATAATATTTCTGAAGTATAGATATGTTTTGCTGCTCTTAGAACGAACCAGTCTTTAAAAAATGAAGTGCCAAATGGAAACTAGTGTAACGTATTAGCCAGCGTGCCTCGTGGCATCTATTTGGGGACGCTGGCAGAGGATCAGCCTTGCCACAGGAAGAAGGGTTTTTCCGTAAAGGGAAGAACGCGGAAACGGGAGACACAAGGCTTTGGGAGTTTCCGGCTTATAGAAGCTTTTCACTGTTATAACAAGCGAGGGGGTGGCGTGACGTAGTAGGTCACGTGGGCCTCGCCTATATAACAGCGTGTACAGAGCCAGTGGGTGGGTTCTGGAGACAGTGGGAGGACCTCGTGCGTGTGCACAAAACTTGGCGCCACGACGGTGCATATGCGAGCCTGGCTCGCGAGGCTCGAGTCACTAGTTGACGAAGCCTGCGGACTTTATGTTCTTGGGTGACTGCGGTCACGGGGGAGCGATGCTGTGTGCGTGCTCCGAGGTGAAGAGTGGTTGAGTGCCACGATTCACGCCGATTCTCAATCGGATAAGATCGCTCCTGCGATCGAGGCAAACCAGCCGTTGGTGCGCCAGAACGGACTTTGTGTCCCAGCGTGACATCCGGTCACGGAAGCTAGGCTTTGTGCGCGCTTCAAAAGTAGGAGTGGCGAATGCCACAATCAAAACCATCTTCAATCGGATTTGGATCGCTCCCGCGATCAGGGGATAGTAGGTCTATCAGAGCTAGGGTGTAAGTAGATTATTAAGTGTATATATTTGTTTTGTTTTCTTGTTAATAAATATATTGTTATACGAAAGCTCTGTGTCTGTGGTCGCTGTGAGTATCCATGACGTCACACTAGTTTCATGGGGAGGTGATGAGTGTCACTTTTACCCTGGGACCTTAACCCCGTGCCAATTCGTGTGCCATTAGTGGGTGCATGGGAGTGCCTGGCATCCCCACTTTTTTCTTTCTAATATTACTAACAATTATTGTTCGTTTGCAAATTATTCTTCGTGATATTAAATATCCCCGATTGAATTTTAATTTTTAAAATATATAATTTTTAAATGAATTTTGTTTGAAATGCAATGTAATCTAAGTGGCCATCATATATTATCTTGCTTATGGGAACTACTGCAATATAAAATATTTTTTTTATGTATGAAAAACCTAAACAGCGATACCAATTTTTGTTAAGTATTTTCGTCACTAACTTATTGTTTTGTTCACAAACGACAAAAATAATTCGATTTTATGTAATGTCACGACGAATGTAGACGTGAGTTGCAGGAGTTTCAGGAGAAATTGCAGGAGTTCTCAGTCACAAAGATTTGCATTCTGTTTTAAGCACATAAATGGGTACAGAATGTTTTCTTTTCTTGAAGTGTAGGTAGAGAAGCTGTTGAAAGGTATTGTTTATTCCTCAAGAGTAAGACAATAGTATTTTATTTGGCAGTTATCACAAATGGACTGGGGAAGCTTATAATCCCCACGTGGCTACTAAAGGGTTCATAAATATCAATAAAATTGTTGAAAAGTGCTTCTAAATTGGGTAGGCACAAATGCAATCCTGCTAAACACAGCCCCTTTAACGGCGTGTTTCTTGAAATCCATTGTATCTCACTCGAAAACTATGCATTCTTGGGCTTTGAACCTGGTTTTCATAGTTGAAGGCATCGAGTTAAGTACAACACGCTGTTATCTATAAACTGAAATCTTTGGGGACATCTTGTACCTTGGGGTACATCGACTCTATGTAAGGGTGGGGTTTGCATTATTTCGATTTCAGAGAAGCAGTATTTCGAATATTAAAATGTTTCGCTATCAATTTTTTTTCTCTTCACACGCGTATCGAAACTTTTTTGTTTTGTCGGCAGCGTTGAGAATGAAAGGGGTATATTGTGTCGGCATCTGGTAAGGCAATTAGTTATTTTAATGTTTTACATACTACAGCTCTCCTCCATTCCGTTCGAAAGGCGGCTAGAGCATGCGCCAAGTCAGTACATTTGTCTGGAGAGTCATAGTTTTGAATGGTGGGGTGCGATGGTTTGGGGCACTGGTTGCTTGTCTGTGTATATTGTGTAGGTGGTTTCTTGACCAGTTGAAGATTTGACCAATCATTGCTTTTATTCATTCCGTTAATTC